GTGCAGTTTCATGGAAGTCTGGTAAGCAGACGTGTATAGCTAGATCAACTATGGAAGCTGAGTTCATCGCATTGGATCTGGCCACACAAGAGGCAGATTGGTTGAGAAATTTGCTTGTTGATATTCCTCTGTGGGGGAAGCCGTCACCACCTGTTTCTATGCATTGTGATTCACAAGCCGCTATATGTGTTGCTAAAAATAGTGTTTACAACGGCAAGAAAAGGCACATAAGAGTCAGACACGAGTCTGTGAGGCAGTTTATTGTGAATGGGGTTATTTCGTTGGACTATGTTCGAACAGAGAAAAACCTGGCAGACCCTTTTACTAAGGGTTTGAGTCGTAGACTAGTGGTGGAGTCATCAACTGGTATGGGTTTAGGACCTTTGTTGTAATGACTTGAAATGGTAGCTATTCTAGCTATGTGATATGATACATTGGTTATAATAAATTCAAGAACCTGTTTTGGTTATTTTGTTTCATTGAAATGAATCATGTGGATTTGTTATATGTGTATCATGTGTTTGAATCAATTACTCTATAAGAGTTGTAAGTTGATTCTGTTAGGATGAGTTTATCTCTTAATGTCATTAGTCTAGTTGTTTTCTGAGCAGGGATAGATGGAGGTGCTTACATAGTTAAAACCTTTGTCCCAGTGGCTCTTAAAACAGGATAGATAATGACACCGAAAGTTGAAGGGTTGAACTTATGTTCTTAATGTTCTAGTTCCACTGCATGGATTTCTTAGGTTTGCAAGGTGCTTAAACACGTTTAAGCCTGCTGGGAAAGACCTTTGAATTTGCTGGGAACGTGTGTGAATAACACATAGGACGAACACCTACGTGAGTACGAGAGGTGGCCTCTCTCAAGGGAAGAATGGAGTATTGTTTTCCTGAAGTACTCATGAGAGCCCAAGTGTTGGCCAAGATTGGTGGAGTTGCTTAAGCTCTAAAGTCAAGATATGTGTATTCAAGGTCCCTTCCTCGCTCCTAGGAGTTCAAATCTTAGGATACTCACTAGGGAAATGTTGAAAACCTTGTGCACTAATGTGTTAGTTCAAACCTTTGGATACTAGCATTTAAGTACTAAGACTTTCATTTACTGTTCAGATTTCATGTTGAAGATCCGCTCGCATTAGTGGGGGATTGTTGGAAATAGTAATGCAATCGGATGACTCGCGCCCGATCGGGCGGCTCTCGCCCGATCGGGCGAAGGTGGTCAAGAAAAAAACGGGAACTCTCGCGCCCGATCGGGCGGCTTCGCCCGATCGGGCGGCTTCGCCCGACGGGCGACGGACAAGAGTTTTTCTACGAGATCTCTCGCGCCCGATCGGGCGGGCTTCGCCCGACCGGGCGGCGGACTCAAGGTTTTGACGAGCCCGATCGGGCGGCTTCGCCCGATGGCTCGCCCGGAATGGGGATTTCAGATCGCCCGACCGGGCGCAAAGCTACGTCTGGAAAATCTGATCTCGCGCCCGATCGGGCGGCAATTCGCCTGATCGGGCCCGCCTTTTTTCCTAGGTCGGTTTGATTACGTGTTTCCTATTTCCAGGACTCATATAAATACGAGTCATATCTTTTTCATGATTTTTTATTCTCTTTCTAGCCGAAAACACAAATCTACCTTTTGAGATCTGAACAGTTCTTGAGCAATTCCACTCTTCGAGTTCGGGTGCACGAATTACGGAGATAGTTGCGTTAAACTTGGGGGGCGTGCGTCACTAGGAAACTTGTACCGGTGGTGGCGTATTTCGCTTCTAAGGCAGTGGATTATTGTTCTACGGCGCGACTATGAGTTTGGGATCTTCAATTCAGGAAAGTTCTAATCTTTTGTTTGTTATTGATTTCAACGGTTATTTTACCAACAATGTAGTTGTGTTAGTATTGTCTCATAGTTGATACTTTAGATATCTTAATTTTTCAGCTCTTTATCAATCATGGACATTACAGTGTCTTAAATTTTCAATTTTTTTTCATATAAAATGTATGCCATGTGTTCTCAAATATAGCCCTAACCTACTTATATTTTGAAAAAAATGTAAATAAATTGTATGTTTAAATAAATTGAATGGGACTATTCAAGAAAAAAGGGAAGGGGGGGGGTGTAGCCTTTTTTTATTTGTATTCTTGTAGGCTAATTATCCACGTGTAAAACAATTATGTCCTATTTTAAATTTTAGCACACCAATGAATAGCCGAGCCCACCATATCTATACACCAACAAATAGCCCATTACGTTGGCCAGTTGTCCAATGTCGCTAACTAATGGGCCTCATTAACTCCTGCTAAGATACTTTCATAGCAAGTAGCAACTTGAGAGAGAAATAGAGAGAGAGAGAAAAAAAAAAAAAAAAAAAGACCATAGTTTCACTAATTTCCAACCAATTATTAGTAAAGGGCAACTTTAAAATAAATAAATAAATAAATAAAATTAGTAAAGGGCAACGTGATGGTATACAATCATATTATACCTATTAAAAAATATAAATATTAATATAAATAAAAAGTTATAAAAATTAGAGCAGTATTTTTTTGTATGAGATTAATCGCTTATAATAGAATAAAGCAACTCCTATAACACTGAATCACCGACCGAGTAACCTCTATAACACATATGAGGTAACCTCTGTAACAGTGATTGAACAACCCCTATAACATTAATGAAGTAACCCAGGACAATTGAATGTTGTATCAACATATATAATGAATGGAGAAGATGTAAATGTGAAATATGGAGGTGAATGGGGGAGATGAGAGGATAAGGATAGAAAAAAATTAACTAAAAACAAATAAATAGATTAGGACTTAGAAGGTCAAAAATAATATGAACTTAAAATGAATAAAGATATTTTTTTATGGAAATGATAGTCTGAAATTAAAGAGGGGGTAATTATCATTGCATATGAAGTATTTCCAAATAAACCAAATTTGATGTAAATAGTCCAAACTCACATACCTATCATCAAAGCGAGCACAACCCCACAAATCTTACATTTTCATTTTGTTAAACTTTGTACCTTTAGATTATTCCAAAATTTCAGATAAGTATGTTAGGGGCGTGCAGTGGCTCTACCATACTTAGTTCTATTTTAATTTTGGTTGTGTTTTAATAGTTTGTTTTTTCTTTCTTTGCTGTCGTTTAATTTTGTTTCTTATTTATTTTTAATTTATATATATTAAAATAAATTAAGAGAAACTTATGTTATTGACAACAGCTTTTAAATTAAGTTTGTTTTGACTATAAACCCTTATCAATAACTTAAATTTAGTTAAACACCCAAATCATAACTTATTTTTATTTCTTAAAACAAAATAAACTTAAGGATCTTTAGTAAATTGAATTGAGGATTTCACATCAATAGTCTTTTGTGTCTTAGGGTCTGTTCTCATTGACTGAACTGAGCTGAACTGGACTGAACTGAATTGAAATGAATATTTTATAAGAGAAGGAAATTAGGAGCTGAACTGAATTGAATTGAACTGAACTGAACTGAACTGAGTTGAGCTGAGCTGAACTTAACTGAATTGAATTGAACTGAACTGAACTGAATTTCAACGTAAGAGAACATACCCTTAATGTTAGTTTTAATAGATAATAGTGTTTGAAGGGAAAAATAATTTTTTCTTGTTACTCCATTATTCAATCTTTATGTCCTAGGGAGTTTAATATTTAAGGGTTCTTACATATATACAAGGAATAGAGTCTCTCAATGTCGGTGATAATAATTCCATATTTAGGTTGTTATAATGTTTTTGTAGAAATTTAATAATTTTAGTCATACGACGTCTTAAATATAAGTCTTAACTAACAAATGCATATTAAATTATATCAAATAATTCTATCATTAAAAACATTGATAGTTGAAATTTGAATACGAGATCCAACATTTATGTGTACCCCTTTGATCTTTTAATATTGTAATCTTCTTAGTTATGTTAAGAAAAAAAACATATATGTGCTGATGTGCACCTCTTTTACATTGCTATTTGATTAATGTTTTGTTAGGGGTATATATATATATATGTAGCTTTGATTACAATGGTACACATGTAGAATTATTTTATTACTCAAGGTTTTAATTTTGGCATTGATAACGTATTATTGATTCATTTTGTTCTCACCATATGTTCTCTTTTTCGTATCTAAATAAGTTCAAATACATATTCATAATCCTTGATCGAATTATGAGAGGCTTATAATTAGACAATATGTAAATATAGGTTCTACTTGAACATACGGATATTGACTTGACTAATTAAACTTGACCGCAAAACCATGAATGCTTAAAAATTATCCAACTCAAAATGAAATCAAACCTGAACTGCCAACAATAAATCAACCCCAAACCTAACTCGATGCATGCAACCTAAACTTTACCTTGAATCGAACTTGATTGAATCCAAAATCTAAAACCAATACGGAGGCTAATTAAATTACTCGACATAACAAGATTTTTGAGTTTGATCTGATACTTAATTTAACTTATGGTACATTTCAACCTTAAATGGGGATATTATTGGCACTTCGGTGGGTGAAGATTGCTTACCTTTCCACTCACTTCCATACAACTGATACACGTATACAACTTAGCCCATTAACCAAGTTAACTCGTGCAAAAATCTAATTCAATAGAACAAATTTTCTCCTATAAAGTCATTTTAAAATAACTTCAAACACATTTGTAATTCGACAAATTTAGGGAAAATTATAAGTACTATAGTGTAATTTACAAAAAAAACACACACAATTTTCTTTTAACGTACTCATTCAATTATAAACAGTTAAACACAATTTTCACATGCATTTAAAGAATTAGTATTGGCGGGAGATATTTGAAGGATAAATAAAGAGAATAAGTTTCGCATGCTTAAAAGCGCAAAAATTCATAACATTGATCTGTCTTCCCAACCGTTCGATATATAACCTCCAATCTTAACCGTCCGAATGTGGCCAAGTACATCATTCTAACGTACACCTGTTCACATCAGATCTCTTTCTCTTCCCTCTTTTTTCTGTAAAACCCTAATTTCCGACAAATTTGAAGTTTTTTTTAGCAGATTCAATTCCTAAGAATCAGTGCGAGAATTAGCTTTGATGGATTCTGGAGATGATAGTGATATCCCAATTGAGCCCAAAAAGGGGAAATCTAAGACTCCCAGAAAAACTAAAGAAAGCGTTCTCAAGCAAAGTAAGTTCAATTGTTTGATTTTTTTTTTTAATTAAACTTGGATTAAATTAGGGTTTTGATTGATGAATTTTTGATTATGTAATTGTGGGTTGGCAGAATCACCAGCAGAATTTTTTGCGGAGAACAAAAATATTGCAGGATTTGACAATGTAAGTTCCTAGCTCAATTTTTTAAGCATTTTATCCCCAATTTTTGTGATTTTTAAAGAATTTTTCGACCTAAGACCCTTTTTAGATTTGATTATGATCTTGCTTGAACTTGATGGTTTTATAATTAACCTGATGATTTTTATCACTTGGGTTACTGTACATAGGAGCTTGTTATAATAGATAGCTAATAGTGCTATTGTGAATTAAGGATAACACTGATTGTTTCTAAGGGCCACTTGTTAGAGTATTCTTATTGGTCCGGTATCGCTCGGATGGTGTTGAAGTTACACCTTTGCTCCACCGTGCTTTTGTTGTGATCTCTAACTGATAGCGAGTGCTGAGTCCCGAGTGAATGTTTATGGTATTACTGGAATGATATATGAATGGAATTATGGAAGGTTATGAACTTGTAATAGAAAATAATGTATGTGATAATTTTGTCTGTTGCAGCCTGGGAAGTCCCTTTATACTACTGTGAGAGAGTTGGTTGAAAATGCTCTTGATTCTTCAGAGTCTATATCAGAGCTTCCTGTTGTGGAAGTTACAATGTAAGTGATTTTAACTAATGAACTATGACAAGATTGTATGGATAGTATCTTCTAATAATGTTGACAAGTTTGATATTTGATCATCTGGTTTTTATTCAGCATCTAATTTTGTGTTTTTACTGTTTTTTGTTATTGAAGAGAAGAGATAGGGAAGAGTAAGTTTAATTCTATGATTGGTCTCATTGACCGGGAGCGAGTTGATCAGGAATTATATGATGATTACGAGACAGCTAAAGCTCGTGAGGTACGTGAGTTTCTAGTGTTCCATCAAATGCAATTAGTTATCCTAGCATGGTTATCCCTGTAGTGGTTTTGGTCATGGTTTATTCTTGAGTTTTAAATTTACAAATGGCTTTGGTCATGTGGTTATTATTCTTGAATTTTTATTTTACAAATTGTAGGTCTCTATGCCAGTAGCGCATTATGGTTAGTGACTGATATCACATGTTTAGCTAGGTTTTGAATGAGGAATATGTGGATCAGGATATTTATTTTTGATCTGACCTCTTAGTATTTGTTACTCACATAGAAACGGCTGGCAAAGGAAGCCCGTGATCTGGAAATCCATGCAAAAAATGCAGCTTTGGGGAAGAAAGTTAAAGAGACTGCTGCAAAAGCTAGCAAAGGCCGTGGTGAAGCCTCTTTTTTCAGGGTGATATGTAAGGTGCTTTATATCTCAACCTTTTGTCTTTTTGGTCTTATTTTACTAAAAGCACTTGCTGATTTTCTGCTATTTTTTTAAAATTCTCCTCCGCTTCTATGTTGATATAGTGTTTTCTACCTAATGCAGGACAATGGAAAAGGAATGTCGCATGATGACATACCTAATATGTTTGGGAGAGGTGTGATTATTAATATGCTTGGGAGTTAACTTATCTCCCTGCTGTTTCTTTGTTGTTGATTTTATTTTTCCCTTTTATGCAGTTTTATCTGGAACGAAATATGGACTGAAACAAACACGTGGGAAATTCGGATTAGGGGCTAAGATGGTAAGTATTGTCTTCCGCTGAAATTAGGCAGCTCTTTTGGTTGTATGATTTTTGTTGCACTAGATAGCAGCATTTGTGCTTTTTCTTTGACGTCAAGCTTACATTCCAAGATGTGTGATTTTTTATGCTATAGATTGAGTATTATCACTTATCAGGCTTATGTAACTCATGTCAAACTTATGTAGGCTTTGATTTGGTCCAAGATGAGCACTGGACTACCTATAGAAATATCATCTGCAATGAAAGGCCATAATTATGTATCATTCTGCAGGCTGGATATTGACATTCATCGGTATGTTATAAATTGCTGAATTTCTGGGGTTTATGTTTCTATCTCCAATGCTATATTGGTTTATACTTTACATAATGGTACCAGTATGCTAATGGTTTGCTTCTAGGAATATTCCACACATTCATTTACATGAAAAACGTGAAAATAAGGACCGCTGGCACGGAGCTGAAATTCAAGTTGTCATTGAGGGAAATTGGACTACCTACCGGGTATTTATTAGTGTCATTTGGTTTTTATTTAGGACAGTTGCTTTGCCTTGTCAGCTTATTCTTAAATTACTATAACTTGAAACTTAGTATCTTTTCTAATTATTGGTGACGTGTTGCTCATGCAGTCTAAGATATTGCATTATATGCGTCAGATGGCTGTCATCACCCCTTATGCTCAATTTGTCTTCAAATATATCTCAGAAACACCTGAGTATGTTGTTCCCTATTGTCTTTGTTTTCTGCATCTTTCACTTGCCGCATTTTGGCTGTCTTTATTCAACAACAAAACTTATACTTTTCCCCAGAGTTGACCTGATTCAACTCTCATTGAGTATGTTGTTGCTTTCTAGGTATTGGCTAATTATTTATCTATTTTATTTATGCAGTAAAAATGTGACCATAGGATTTGCACGAAGAACTGATGTAATGCCTCCTGTACCCATGGAAACTAAGTATCATCCATCTGCTGTCGATCTGTTACTCATTAAGCGGCTTATTGGTGAAACTTCAAAGCAGAATTTGCTACAGTTTCTTCAACATGATTTCGTGAATATAGGAAAACCTCATGCTCAGCGTCTGATTGGTAAGAAATTATTTCTGAAACACACACTATGATGTACTAACTACACCTGGTAACAAGTAAAAAAGAAAATAACTTTTTAAAAAATTAGTTTTTAGATGCCCCAAAGTGAATTTTGAGGTTGTGTTGCACTTGTGATTCTCTTATAACGGGTTGGCCTATGAAAATCCTGTCATTATTTACTTCCTATCTATTTCTAGCACAGGGCAGAACAGCTGTCACGGAGGCTTACTTCTGTCTGACTTACCGAAACATAGTGCTTATTTGGTTGCTATGGGAAATAATTTCTCTTGGTAATTTGAAATTTCAAGGGATTTAACTTTCCTTGTGTAGTTCCAAGGAAATTGGTTAATCTTGTTTTGGTTGCAATGGGAAATTATTTCTTGCGGTAACTTATATTTAACTTTCTGTTATAGACTAGCTTCGACGGATTATAATAACAGTAAAGTAAGCAACATTGTAAGTGGAAAGCTTGATTGATTGATGATGAAAAACTGATTACAAGGTTTGATTTGCTTTAGGCTATCAATCTCACAAGTAGGTTTAGCCTACAAATCTCACATTAGTGATTTGAGGTCACAACTCGCCAATTGGTGACTTGAGGTCGCAACTCTCTCAAGGATTCACTCCCAAATTTCTGCCTACCTTCTCCTTTCTCCTCTCCCTCTCTCTATTTATTTACAATTTTAAAGATGATTCTAGATGGTTTGTCTTCTTTTGTGCCATGTGGCATCTCTTGATTCCTTGCATAATTTCCCTTATGCACTACATCTGACAACAACTAACATACTAAATTTCCTTATGTACTACATCTGTTCAATTGCTTAGAAATTGATAATATCTTTGTTTCAAATATATGCTAGCTAATACAAGTTTTTAGTTAAAGACACTCTGATGGATCTTTAATGATGATGCCTTGTCAACTTTCAGGTGAAATGGGCCCAGAATTTAGCCCTAAAATGGCTGTAAAATCACTTACCTCGCAGCAGCTCGTTCGCATACATCAATTGTTTCGTCAGGCTAAATTTGGTGATCCTAGTGGAGATGTAAGCCACTTGCTGCTTATAATCATTAGTGAATTTGCTTTGAGATTTTTGCCTCGTCTTACAGTATATTAATGGCTTGTGAACTTTTTGCAGTGCCTCAGCCCTGCAGGAGAGTACAATCTTCGTTTAGGAATAATAAAAGAGTTGCATCCCGACATGGTTGCTACTTACTCTGGCAGGTGTATATCTACTTTTGAGATCTATTTAATTTTTCTCTTTTCTTGACATTATGCTGAAATACTGTATATATGGACAAACTATTCTCAGTTACTATATTGCTACAATATTCAAATCAATTTTTGCTGTGAAATTTATTAGGAAAAATGGAAACTAGAAATCCAACCTTTGCACTTTTTCCTCTTAAAAATCCAACCTTTATTTTATTCCTCAAAAATCCAACCTTTATACCCTACTTTCTCCAACAGATCCATTTGACCTTTAACCTGTTAAATAGGTTAAATTTTTTTTTTTTTTTTAAAAATTCTTTCACTTTCCCTTCCACTCTTCCTCTTTCTCTCTCATCTCTCCTCAAATATGGAAACACCATAGCAGCTACGCCGGCGCCACCAATTCCGCCACTACACAACGACCCACCTTAGCAGCCCCTGCTCGCCTCCCCACCTAGCCACCTCCCAACCGTCACCACCTCAATTGACACCCTACCAAATAAAACCAAACCACCATCACCTCACCTTTACCCCAAGCTGAAACCACCAAACCAACCCAAAATCACCTCCAACCACTTCCTCTGACTGCAGCCCCCACTCCCACCATGATTTCTGTTCTCTTGGTGCGAGAATCAACACCCAAAAACTTTACCTCGCCATTTTGAAACGAAGCCACCTTTGTTCTTCTGACAAGAATCCACCCAAAAAAAACCCACGATTTTTGCCCCAAAAAATTTGGTAGTGATTTTTGTGGGGTTTTGTGGGATTTATGATTAGTGCTCAATTTGGTAGTGATTTTTGTGGGATTTATAATTTTGTGGTGTAGTGCTGTGGTTGTCGGAATTTGAGTTTGGAAGAGGCTAGGTGTGGTGCTGATGGTGGTTGTGTGGTGATTGTGGGTGGCGAAGTGGTGATGGTGGTTATTTGCTGGTGTGGGTTGTGCGGGTGTTGTGGGTTGTGATTATGGGCGGTGATGGGAATGGGGTTGCTTGGTTTCGGTGGCCGATGGGCGGTGGGGAATGGGGTTGCTGATTTTCTGGTGGGCGGTGGGGAAGGGGTTGCTGGGTTTGATGGCCATTGGGTGGTGGGGATACGGTGGTCAGTGAAGGAGGGTGGGGCTGGGTTTTCTGATTTTTTTTTTTGTTTTTGTTTTTGTTTTTTTAATAATTAAAAAAATTAATTGACCAATTAATGGCTGACACGTGGCACATAACTTATAAAAACCGGTCATCAATAGGTAATGGATCTGTTGGAGAAGATGGGGTATAAAGGTTGGATTTTTGAGGAATAAAATAAAGGTTGGATTTTTAGGAGGAAAAAGTGCAAAAGTTGGATTTTTCTTTTCCATTTTTCCAATTTATTAATGCTGTATTTCTATGCAGTGCTCAAGTATTTGAAGGCCACCCTTTTCTTGTGGAAGCTGGAGTCAGTGTTGGTGGCAAAGATGTTAAACAAGTAAGCAGTTGCATCCGCTTTGTTAATTTAGCCATTGAGGTAGAATAGTGATGCCAGTATTTGAGGTATGTAAAGTTAGGATTTTTGTTCCTCGAGGACAGAAAAGGCAGGAATTTAGTGGAAGGCATTGCTTTGAGGTTGTTTTTCTTCTAATAGATTTACAAGGTGGAGAATGATGCGTTTTGTTGTCATAATTTTTTTTGGTTATTATAACTACTCAGCATGGGCTTGTTCTAAAAAAATCCTAGGCCTTGTAGCATCAGTCACTTGATGCTATATATGCAATTGCATAAGAAGTATAATTTAGAGCTGTCATGTTGCTTGGCACTTGTTTGAGGATATTCAAAGTTCTCAATGCGTGAATGATGGTTCCTTTTCACCTACAGTCCTTTATAAGGCTATATGTCTAATTTCTGCTTTACTATAGGGTTTAAACATCTTCCGGTTTGCCAACAGAATTCCACTTCTCTTCGAGCAAGGTGCTGATGTTGTTACAAGGACGGCTATAAAGAGGATCAAGTAAATGCTTTTCATTTATTCTCTTGTCCTTGCTTTTCTGAGGTGGTGCCTTAAATTATATTGATGAAGACATCTCATTGGGAGCTTATTTGTCAGTTGGGGCAGTTACAAAATTAACCAGAATCAGGACAAGATCGGAGTTTTTGTCAGCATTGTTAGCACAAAAATCCCATTTAAAGGGACTGGTAAGGAATACATTGGTGATGACATAAGTGAGATAGCTTCGGCGGTCAAGGTGAGTCTTTTCTCAGTTTTAAATTTTACTCGTGAAGTTTGGTTTTGGTCAAACACTGGTTCTCATCCTATATTATCTTTACAGTATGCTATTCAGCAATGTTGTATCCAGTTGAAGTCCAAGATAGTGAAGAGAATTCAGGCCAGGGAGCAGCAGGAAAGAAAGAGAAATATGAGCAAGTTAATATAAGCCCTGGTTCTCTTTCCTTGAGTATTTTATTTATTTGTTTGTTTATGCTCACCCTTTCTGGTTCTTGCTAATGTTAGATACATTCCAGATGCTGCAAATGCCATCTATGATGTGCTTAAAGAGGCGGCACAATTGCATGCATCAAAAAAGAGAAAATATGAAGGCGAGGATGCAGAAATACTGAGAAAGGTGTCAACTCGTGCTTTAACAACAGAGACACTTAAAGAGAAACTCGCTAGACATGTTGAGCAGGTAAGATCAGCAGGGCCTTTACTGTGGCAAACTATAAGTCTATAACTGCTTTTTTCCAGGATCTTCTTTGATTTCATAGCCATATTTCTGAATGTACATCAGATATGGTATATTCTTGAGTCTTGGTACCAATATCTGTGTTGTTGAGTCATTAGTTCATGTGATGCTCTGCCATCTTTGCATCTCATATTCTCATCTTACCTTTATCTTTAAGCACTGAACATATTCTTGTACACATCCAACAATTGAAACATACTCCCTCCACCTGTAATAAGTTCACACTGGCTGAATCCTTCATGATACATCATGATTTTACCGAGAGATCCTTTAGAATAGTTGTTTCTTTCCTCTTTCCCACCTAATCCAAGTAGTAGTATGTTGGAATTCTAATTTTTAAGGATGTAAGGTAAAATGACACTTAATAGTGCTATATGTGACTATTAATTACAGATGAAGTGAGTATATCTTGCTCTAGGAACAGCAGCTGTCATGTTATCATTTTTCTGTCAACCTTCGCTTTTCGATTTAATGCAACTTTTCTTGTAAATGATGTTCTTGCAGGTCGATTATGAAATGGCTCTTGAATACGCTACACAGGCTGGAGTTAGCGATGAACCTAGAGAAGCTTTTCATGTACAGTCACTAGAATCAGAAAACAACTTCATTGACCTGCATAGTCCTGTTTTTGTTTTCAGACTTTTCCAGTAGGATCAGGTATAAGCTCATACTGTATTTCTGTTATAAAATATATTCACATTTAGGGAGTTGTAATTTTTTTTTTCTTTATTTATTTGTAATTTTCGGTTGAAAATATGCTAATAAAAATTTGAGTTGAGTGAAAGTGGTTACTCCCGAACTAACTGTATTCTTTTATAGTCTCTAAGATTGTATAGGCGTTTTGTTATTTTTTCACCTTCCAATATGTAATGGAAGCTTTGAGACTGGATGTAAAAGTTACACCAAATGCTAGGTGTAAAAGTACACAGAATGATATAGATAGAACAATTTCATTGTTTTTCTTTGTGCATAAATTTCTTCAAGGACTTGACGATCAAGCGAGTTGGTGTCTCAATACCTTTTCCCCTGGTACTGAAGAGTGATTGTTAATTTGTTATGATATCATTCTATTCCTCTGTGGTACACTGGTTCATCACATAAAAAGAATGCTTGCTTCACACTTGTGGGCTGTTGTCAACGCTGAATAAACGCACAGGAGATGTTAGGAAACAAGCAGTGGTATAGATGCATTTGGTGGACATGCATTGTGTTCCTCCATTATCTGTAGTGTGATACTGCTGCAGTGCTGTGCCTTCAACCTTAGCTGGGGTTCGTCTTTTTACCTTTGTCTCAACCTTCTAGGCTGCTTTAAATGTATTCATCATCAACCAACTTGTTCTTTGTTTTATGGCTCAATCATGTCACCCCATTCCTATAACAAAGTTCGTGTTTGGAGAATTGATCACCCTCCCTTAGAGGACCCTTCCAGGAGTTGCACCTCAATTGTACAGTAGGTATGTTTTGGATTAAAAATTTCTATGCATGCAAGTTTGTCACAGTTTTCCAAACGTAGTACTTTGTATATGTATTTTCGGCTTCTTCGCTAGTACTGTATAAAGTGACAATTTCTAATCTCAAATCCCTTGCAAAGTTTGGAGTGATGAAAGAATTATGATACAAGACAAGAAATACATGTTACAAGTGAATCTATAAAGTTTATACAAGTATTTTAGTTTCTACTTTTTTTTTAATTTTTTTTTTATTTTTAAAGAATATCTATTCGAAAATTTTAGTGCAGAGTAATAAATTTTATCAGTTGAAAGCATAGAAAGACAAGTTTCAAGTTCGTTGCCGAATCTTTGAGAGTGGACTTAAGAGTTCATTTTGAAAAAGAGAAGGAAAAAAAACCGACCAGACTTGCATCATTAGTAATCAGAATTTCTTTAAAATACCAATAATAACTCTATGAAAATTTAAACTTTAATTAACCTTGTTAATTAGTCCAACAAATATCAGCTCACTCAACTACTCACTTAAGTAACTTTACGCAAGTACTAATCATTTAACGAGCCAGTTAATTTTGTAGTCTTGTTACTTTTGCTGTGTTAATTTTGTTACCACGACTCCGTATAAATTATTTTAGGAGCACAATCATGGGATTTCTAAATTTCTTACCTAAAAATTATACGTTGATAAAGATAAAGATTAACCAGAAAAATAAACTGTTTTATGTACAAACAATTAATTTCGTGAAAATTCAATTAAAAAAAAAAATTTAAAGAAAAGATTTTACTACAGTATTTGAACTTGTCGGGAGCCTCGTGATTTCGTGATAGCATTGGAGTGCTCACTGTTCAGGTGAGTTTTTAACTTCCCACTTCAAAACCCAGATAAAAATCCAAAAAAAATCAAGATTTATTTCACTGTTTTTCCCAATAAAAATTTAATCTTTTATATAACGAATGGGGTATTGTTTTGATCTCAGAACATTCAAAATCAATGGCAAAACAAACCCAGATCGCCATAATTGGAGCAGGAACATTTGTGAAGAATCAATACATCCCCAGATTATCTGAAATTTCTAATCTAGTTTCTGTCAAATACATTTGGAGTCGTTCTCAGGTAATCATTACTCTTTTACTTATAAATCATTGATAAACACTTAATTCTCTCTAATTTACAGTTATAAAAGATTTTTAATTTTGTGGGTTTTTATTAAAAATAAAATTGGTAATGTGTATAGGAATCAGCTAGATCTGCAGTGGAAATAGCTAGTAAGAATTTTCCAGAAGTAGAATGTAAGTGGGGTGATGATGGTCTTGATGATATTATCAAGGATTCCTCAGTTGTTGGAGTTGCTGTTGTTCTTGCTGGCCAAATTCAGGTCTTATTTCTCTCTCTCCTTTTTTTTTTTTTTTTTTTTTTTGTTTTTGTTTTTTTGGTGAATTCTTATTTTATGTTGTTATCTTGCCTTGGATGATAATTAATTCAGTAATGTATGAAAGTAAAGTAGATCATTTACTAATTACTATCTAAGTTTAGTCATAAATTTTATGTTAAGAAGAATTAAGCTTTGTGTATTCTGGTTATGTTTAAGCAATGATATAAATGGATTAAACAATATGAATGTGACAAATTGCTGGTTTTCTAACTTTCATTGCATTATGTAATGTATAAATCAACTTCATAGCTTATATGTATTTTCTTGTGTGAGGACAAATTTGATTCTTTGGAAGTTTGGAGAAAGAAAAAGAGGTTGTTTAGGACTAAGAAGTGTAACAGATACAAACTTATGAAAGTGATAACTTAAGTGATAACTTTTCGCCGAATTTGTTTGAATTCTTTGGGGGTAAGGACTAAGGACTCAGGAAAGGCATTGATTGGTCTTTTGCTGCTGGTGGGTTGGTTTTCCTGCCCGACTTCTGGCGTATTAGTTGAAAGTATAATATGAGCTTCATAATCCAATTCTCAAGAGGCTATTGACTTAATAAACTTATTTGCTTGTTGACCGGCATTGCTTAGGTAGATATGGCGCTGAGACTGCTCAAGGCAGGGAAGCATGTGATCCAAGGTATTCCCCCCGCTCCAACAATGGCCATCAGTGCTTGTAATTGGAATTTTCGGTGATAAAGAAGGTTTCAGTTTGATAAAATAGAAATGGACCAGATCATCTAGAGGTTACCAAAGAAAGAAATGATGTTTTCAAATAGCTGCTGAACTTTGTTATTATGATGGAAAATCACATTATTGTTATAGCATAGAGTTGGTTTGCTTGATTTTCTTTTGGCTGTTTAACTGTTTTATCATTTCTAATGGGTGATATGTTTTGTGTTATTTTCATGTCAAAATCTTGGGTGTTGGATGATTCCTTGGGACAACAGAAAAGCCAGCTGCTGCAAGTGAGTGAAATTCTTTTCATCAGTGACTCATCACATCCATTTTGCTCATTAACCGATTATCTTAATCTGCATTATTCTTTATAATTATGTGTTGCTAAAGCGTACGAAGTACATAGATTACTGTAGTGATAACAGCAATTTATAACATCCTGTGAAAATTTTAACGGCTTATAAGATGGGCACATCTTGTTAGTTACTCTTTTATTGACATTTATATAATAAACCTGGAATCCATGAGGTTGATAATGTTGCCATTAGATTCATTCTTGGATAAAATGTCTGTTAGATTTTGGGCTATACTTATTTTTTCAAATACATCTGTTTGTGCAGATAATGAGGAGGCAGAAATGGCACTGTCAAGCTACAATCTTATATCTCCTGGAATTCCTAGTAAACCAATCTGGGCTGTAGCAGAAAATTACAGATTTGAACCTGGTTTCATCGAGGTACATGGTATTCTGCTGTGCCCTGTGCCTGTGCTAGGTTTGCCTTTTTGGAAGTTTCTCCTCAATTAAAATGCCTTTTGGATGAACAGGGCAGGAAGCTAGTCGAAGAAATAGGAAATATGATGAGTGTCCAAGTTATTGTGGAAGGATCAATGAACAGTTCTAACCCATATTTTTCAAGTTCTTGGAGGAGGAACTTCACTGTAAGTGTTTCAATTTCCATGGCTACTATATATACATTATTGTATGTAAATTCCTTGCAAATGAAGCTTTGGTGGTTAAATGAAATTATGCAATTACTTGTAAGGCTTGTATTTGTAGGCATATATGTCTCTTTAGCAAGCTTTGATTTACCAATTCATTGATGAATGCATGACTTGAATAACTATAATTGATGTGATGTCAGAGTCCCAAAAGTTGTTTCTTAGAGGCCCGGTTAAAGAGATGTATAGTATTCTTGTTTTGAAGGGTTCAACACTTCAACTTGTTTAGATTCGTCAATACGACTGTAACAACTCTTCCTCTATGGATCATATTATAATCACATACTATGTATTTGTTTCTCATGGATGATTGGTGAGTCATGCCTCTTTTTTTTTCTTTATTGCTTGGCTATGCAATGGCTCCTATCATTCAAAAAGGAAAATGGGTAACTCCTGGACAACCTGTGTACCAAAATAGTCATATAATGGAACCCTCAACTTATTATCGGGACTTTATAGACCTATTGGTAGGCCTATTATGGTTCCAAATCAACATTTATGACCCCTGGGGACACACCCCACATTCACTTCAATTGGTCAAAAAGCATGAATTATAGACTTCAATTTTTAACAATTTTCGACTTTTTCGGACCCAAAAAGAAAAGAGGATGAGGTGCTTTCTATGGACTCTACGAGACCTTAGGAGACCATTTGGGTGGTTGAAACTATCCACTTTGCCTTTAAATTATCATTTTAGTAGGTTACATGCACTTCTCCCTTCATTTACTCAAGGCTATTACCCTTTATGTGATCAACTAGTGTTCGTATCTAATACGAGCAACATTGTAGACTCTGAGAAACTTCCCCTACTATAACTTGAGTTTATGACATTGAGTCCTAAAGGCCTATTATGGTTCCAAACCAACATTTTTGAGCCCAGTGGACACACCCCACATTCACTTCAACTGGTCAAAAAGCATGGATTATAGACTTCAATTTTGAACAATTTTTAACTTTTTCGAACCTGAAAAGAAAAGAGGATGAGGTGCTTTCTATGGACTCCACGAGACCTTAGGAGACCATTTGGGTGTTTGGTACTATCCACTCTGCCTTTAAATTATCATTTTAGTAGGTTCCATACATGTCTTTATTCATTAACTCAAGGCTATTACCCTTTATGTGATCAACTAGTGTTCGTATCTAATATGAACAACATTTTATGACTCTGAGAAACTTCCCCTTCTATCACTTGAGTTTATGACATTGAGTCCCAAAATCTCCGAAAATGGTCCTATTATGCCTATAAACTCTCCAGAGAACAATTTTGTTTCCAGAATTCCAGCAAGTTTAGTAACCTAACGAACTTAAACTGCCTAATTTTATGTCAAATTTCTAAATTTAAACCGCATAAGCATTGACTGAATACCAATATATGTCGCACGTTATAGAGTATGATGTTTTGTTGTTGCA